CATTCCTTACTCTTCTGGAAGATGCTCCTCACTTAACACTGCTGTCCTCTTTCTCCAATAGCTTTGCCTTCTGCGGTGTGGATAAACATAAATGCTTCCCCTTTTTTATTACTGGCCTTACCTAAAGGAAAATCTGCAGGCTTTTTGATGTTTTCAATAATATCTTCATACCACATTACAGAAAACAAACAAACAAACAAACATACACAGTGGATAATGTACACAGGTCTTGGCTCAACATGGGGTATCATGGGGAACTGGCCTTTGGTTCCTCTGGGGTGCACAATTGGCATTTTGTTACCCTTTGTGGACATACTTACAAGGAAGAATCTATGTGTGCAGGAAAATATGTATCCCAGATGGAGAGGGCTGGGAGAGATCTTTTTTTTTTTTTTTTTTTTTTTTCAGGTAGGGAATGTTGAATAAACTGTATGTTGTGTGCCTGCCTTTTGACTGCCACCTGTCACATGAGGGGAGATATGGAATTTTCCACATGGGATGTCATGTCCTTCACATTTTGGGTTTTGCAGCATTTAGAATTTCAGATTTTGGGATTAGTGATGCTCAGCCTGTATGGTAAGCTCCAGAGACAAGACAAGAAGAGTAGACCCTTGAAGAAAACTAGAGGATCAGGGCAAGGTTCTTGGAGAAAAAAATAACATTTATTCATAAAGGAAAACAGATGGTTGGTAAGTAAAAAATAAAGGGTAGAGGTACCCCAGGTGGTAGAAATAGAATATATAATGAATATCAAAATATCTTAATGTAGTGATAACATACTCATAAATGAACAACTTAAAGATGTTTCAATGTAGGGCCATGATGAAATGCAACAGGTAATGTTTAATAACTTTAAATTTATTCAATTAAAAACATCATGCTGGGCTGAGGATGTAGGTTTTGCCTTGCATTCTTGAGATCCTAGGTTGAATCCCCAGCAGTGCAAAACAAACAACTCATACTTCATTCTGATACTGATACCATTCCTATTTTGGGGGTGCTAAGCTGTCATCTTCTCAAATGAGTGACAGCACATGGTAATGTGATTTAAAAAAAAAACTTTTGCAAAATAAAAGGTTTTCAATTTTCTGTTGATCCCTAAAATTCTAAATCAAATAAAGTTCATTCCCCTATTCTATACAAACATTTATTTTTCCTTCTTTTTGGTTAAAAAAAAAAAATCACAATACTCAAAAAGTCTACAGGAAAAGACTCTGATTTGTTAGTCCAGAGTTAACTGTTCTAGTAACATCTGAAATAAGGAAACATAAACCCTTGGCCTTTTGAAATTCTAGTTAACTGTCCAATATTTATCTCTATAGAAAGTCCTTTCTGAACTGTTAAGCACCATTTCAAGGCCCAATGTTGGTGCTTTTGTTTGCAAACTTATTTTGAAATCTGGCTTCATTTTAAAAATTTTCTTTCTTTCTCTCCTCCCCCTCCCCTTCTCCCTCCCTCCTTCTCTCTTTCCCCCTCCCTCCCTCCCCCTCCCTTCCCCCTTCCCTTCCTCCCTATCTCTTCCCCCCTTCCTCCCTCCCCTTCCCTTCCCCCTCCCCTCCCTCCCCCCTCCTCCCCCCTCCTCCCTCCCTCTCCCTCCCCCTCCCTCCCTCTTCCCCCCTCCTCCCTCCCTCCCTCTTCCCCCCTCCTCCCTCCCTCCCTCTCCCTCCCCCTCCCTCCCTCTTCCCCCCCTCCTCCCTCCCTCTCCCTCCCCCTCCCTCCCTCTTCCCCCCTCCTCCCTCCCTCCCTCTCCCTACCCCTCCCTCTTCCCCCCCTCCTCCCTCCCTCCCTTTCCCTCCCTCTTCCCCCCTCCTCCCTCCCTCCCTCTCTCTCTCTTCCCTCTCCTCCCTCCTTCTCCCTCCCTCCCTCCCTCTCTCTTTTTCTTCCTATCTACCTATCAGGGACTGAATCCAAGGGCACTTTACCACTAAGCCACATCTCCAGCTTTTTCTATTTTGAGACAGGGTCTAAGTTGCTGAGGCTGGGCTTGAACTTGCCATCCGCAACCTCTTGAATAGCTGGGATTATAGGTGTGCACCACTATGCCTAACTTAATTTTTTTTTGGGGGGGGGGCAGAATTCTTAATACTTTAATGTTTAAATTTTTATGTTTTAGAAATGAATTTGACAATATTATCAAATTACCTGATAATATAAACAGCTAATATATATTTCAGTGCTTATCTTGTGCTGGTCACACTAAGTAGTCTCTTGAAGTTCTCCCATTTAGTCCCCACAACAGTCTTTGTTTCATTTAGGAAGTTACCATGCAGAGAGTTTCAGTAACTTGCCTAAAGATACACAGCCAGGAGCTAGTTGTGTAAATAGTTAGTCAAACTCTGTAGTTCAGTATAACAAAATTATGAGAAAGTATCTTCGTAGTTCAAAATCTGTCAGAAAATACCAGCTTGTTTCCTAGAAGGGAAAAGCCTGAATAAACTTCTGAAAACGTTACTAAATAGAGGTATGTCCAGAATGGAAAACTACACATTAGCAATTAAAACTGTGCACTATCTAGGCTTGCATATAGGACCAATATTTATCTCCAATGTTTTGACTATATCTCAGATCCCCCTAGGTATGAAATTAATTTTTATACATTTATTTCTTAAAAGGATAACTTAAGGTTGAAGACAGAAATATAGAATAATATTTTTTTAAAGAAATCTTCAATGGAGGAAAACCCTTCACAAGCACATGGGTTAAACTTTGCTTCTGTTTAACTAATTTTTTTTTTAATATTTATTTTTTAGTTTTTGGCGGACACAACATCTTTGTTTGTATGTGGTGCTGAGGATCTAACCCGGGCCGCACGCATGCCAGGTGAGCGCGCCACCGCTTGAGCCACATCCCCAGCCCTAACTAATTTTTTTAATAAAGTTTATTTGTATGTGGTGCTGAAGATCAAACCCAGTGCCTCACATGTGGTAGGCAAGCACTCTACCATTGAGCTACAACCTCAGCCCCTGTTCAACTAATTTCATAAAGCTTTCAAAATGGGTCCTACTAGTGCTTGGGCAGGCAGTTTAAAATAGTGAGAGAACATGGACTAGGGAGAAGTCTGTGTTCACATCCTGGCATTTTGTTAACTTCATTATTTGTTTTGTAAATGAATCATTTAAGGTCAGCATCATTGGGAATCCAAATTAGAGATCAGGCTTGCAAGATATGATTCCTAATCTAGACTCAAATGACTAATAATGTAAGGGGAAAAAATAGAGCAGATGATTAAGGGTGGGTGGGGTTAGGAGGAATGCCAGAAGACCTAAGGCCATGACAGTTTCATGCATTTACTTTTGTTGATCTCCTTTAAAAGTCCTAAAAGAGGTTTCATGCCCCAAGTGAAATCATCATCACGAGATTTGTTTTAGCGCGTTCAATCTGAGAAGTTTTGGAAGAAAAAAATATACCTATGTACCATTATTTGTGTATTTATTCAAAGACAATTAATATTTTCACAAATCAATACTTTTAATACTATCTTTAAAGCATTAAGCTACATAACTACTAATTTTTGTGTTAGTGAAAACAATAACCTAGAATTTAACCTTTCAAATCAAAGTTTATATATTTAATTTTTTAAAAAGCCCTTTCTCCTACCATTTTATAACAACTCCTTCTTTTGCTTCTTTTCTATACCCTTTGGCTCAGCATTAAAAAAAAAAAGTGGCATGTTTTGCAATATTGATGACCAACTAAGCTCAGGATATTTATTTCCATCTGGTAGAGTTCAACTTCTGCCTCTTGTTTGCTTTCTCCATCTGCCTGCCTGGCCTTCATCTTTTTTTTTTTTCCCCCTTCTCCTTAATGGAGTTCAGGTTAACCCTGTTTTAGGTCTAATCGCTTTAGCAGGCTCATGCCTTCTTACCACAATATGTTTCCAAAAGATTTTGCAAGTAGAGTTTCAAGTAAAATTAGATGTGTACTAAATACTCTCGAGATTCAAAAGTTTTTTTCTTTCTTCTTCTTCTTCTTTTTTTTTTTTTTTTTGAGATTAGCAGAACTCTAAGTCTTAAACAGTATTTGAACTGGGGGAGGGGGTTGTTATTTTTGTCTATACACGTTTTTAAATGCATACGCAGACTTTTTAGTTTTCAGTTTGTTACAGAAGCCGTGTTACATTTATGTTCAATAACTGGCTTTCCTATACACATTAAACTGGATTCGATAAAGTTTCAACTCTTCTTTAACTCCCAAAGTTACTGAAACAGCAGCCACAAATGGCATTACTAACCTACTTATTTTGCAATTTAAACTTTGACAAAGACATTTCCTCATTCTTCTCCCTGTGTGGAGTAGAAACGGCTTCATGGCGTTGGCACCTCTTCTGAGAAGGGACTGGGATTCCCCAAGGATGTAGTCTGGTTTTTTGGGAAGGATACTTCATGAGAGCGATTTCCCTATCCTTTCCCCGATACCCTCACCGCTCGGTTCCTGCACACATAAAGCCTTTACCCGCACCCCATCCCGCTGCACGCTCCTCCTGCGTGTGGAACTAGTCACGCAGATCCCAAGCGGGGACGACATGTAAACACCGAGTACGCAATGGGAAAGGAGCTATGGATTTGAGCCCGACCAGACCAGCCAGCGCGCGTGTAGACACATCTCACACAACACTAAGCCTCAAGCTCCAGTCAGGCAGCGCACTCCTTGCAAAAGGATGCGCTGGCCCAGGGCCTGGACTTGCCAAAGCGGGAAGGAGGAGCTACGGGGGAGGGCGGAGCTTTCACACGCGCACCCTCCCTCTGTTTCCTTCTTCGCTCGGACCCAGCAACTTGGTCTCCGGCCGCCACTGGGGGTTTATTTGTTTACAAGCGGATTACGTCAGCTCCTCCCTCTCTTCCCGGTCTCTGGGCCCGCCCCCTGGTTCCTTTTTCCCGCCCCCTCAGGCTCCGAATCTGCTTGCGTCACAATGGTGCGATCTCCGGATTGGCTAGAGTCGGCCGTCACGCTCCAGCTACGCCACTTCCTTTCCGCGGCACTATAAAGATTGCTGCACGGCGGCAGCATCTCTTCGCCCCTCGGAGCTGGAAATGCAACTCTTGGGATCTTTGGAGGCTAAGGAGCTGGAGGCGGAGGCGGCTGGGGAGGTCCGAGCGATGTGACCGGGCCGCCATCGCTCGTCTCTTCCTCTCTCCTGCCGCCTCCTGTCTCCGAAATAACTTTTTTACTCTAAAGCAAGGGGAAAAAAAGTAGCCGTCCGCCCCTCACACCCTCCCTTCCTCTCAGCCCTCTGGTCTGTGAGGGAGCCCGGGGTGGCCGCTCCGCCGTCGGGGCCGCGCCGCCGAGCCCCGGCCGCCCCGGGCCGCCCCCGCCCGCCGCCCCCATGCATCCCTTTTACACCCGGGCTGCCACCATGATAGGCGAGATCGCCGCCGCGGTGTCCTTCATCTCCAAGTTCCTCCGCACCAAGGGGCTCACGAGCGAGCGACAGCTGCAGACCTTCAGCCAGAGCCTGCAAGAGCTGCTGGCAGGTGAGCGGGTCGCGGCTGGAGGGCGCGGGCACCCGGGGCGTCGGGGTACGTGGGCCTCACATCCCGTGTCGGACCGGGCAGTCCGCGCCCCTGTCCCGCGGCAGCACCTAGGTGGCCGCTAACGGCGGGTCCCGGCGAGGTTTTGGGGGCTGGAGTCGAGGGCGCCCCCTCACCTCGGCTTGCCAGCCAAGGGGGAGAAGAAACCAGACGCACAACAAAGAAACTAAAGCCAACGAGGCTGGAGTCGCGGTCCTCGGACCGTCTGTGGATTTGGGGACAAAGGAGCCGCGGGGCTGGGGTTGGTTCGACGTCCCCTCCCCCAAAGTCCTCCAACCGTTGCGGGGTCGGCGGCCCGGCCCCGGGGTGGGAAGTGGCGCCGCTGCCCGGAGCTAGCTCGGGATCGACGTGCCGTCTCTCCGCACCTCCTGCCCCTGCCCATTAATCATCGGATTTGTCACCGGCACAATTACAGCCCTGCCCTGAGCGTGGTTTAGGGTTTCTTGTTTTTCCTCGCTTCGGGGTTAATAGTCCGGTGCGTTTCTCTTCTCCAAAGCCATAAACTCCATTGTGTGTGGCTGGGGTGGGGTGGAGAAAGTAAACAGGTTCCCGCCTGGCCGTGGTGTGGTCCAGCGGTCCGGCTCCCCGGCTGGCCAAGCTGCGCGCCTGTTCTTGTTTTGGCGGCTCAACCGGTTGGTTCCTGGAGCTTGTTTTGTCCCACACTGCTGTGTTATTTCTAAAACCCTGCCCGCTTTTTCTCCAGTGTCGCGCGCGCACAGCAGTGAACACAATCCTGCACATTTGTAGAAGTTGGTAGTTTTCATATTCGCTCTTCAAAGGAGCTTGAAGGAGGAAACTGAGAAGCTAACAGTACCGATCTAAGCATTGTTTCTCTGTTCTTTTCTTCTGTAGAACATTATAAACATCACTGGTTCCCTGAAAAGCCGTGCAAGGGATCAGGTTACCGTTGTATTCGCATCAACCATAAAATGGATCCTCTGATTGGACAGGCAGCACAGCGGATTGGACTGAGCAGTCAGGAGCTGTTCAGGCTTCTCCCAAGTGAACTCACACTCTGGGTTGACCCCTACGAAGTGTCCTACAGAATTGGAGAGGATGGCTCCATCTGTGTGCTGTATGAAGCCTCACCAGCAGGAGGTAGCACTCAAAACAGCACCAACGTGCAAATGGTAGACAGCAGAATCAGCTGTAAGGAGGAACTTCTCTTGGGCAGAACAAGCCCTTCCAAAAACTACAATATGATGACTGTATCGGGTTAAGATATAGTCTATGGATGGATCATCTTATAATGGATGGATAAATTTGATTTTTGCTTTGGGTGGGCTCCTCTTGGGGATGGATTATGGAATTTAAACCATGTCACAGCTGTGAAGATCTGGCACAAGATAGAGTGGTAAAAAAATTTTTTTAAGTGACAGTGCCATAGTTTGGACAGTACCTTTCAATGATTTAATAGCCTGTGAGTCCAAGTAAATGATCACTTTATTTGCTAGGGAGTGAAGTCCTAGGGTGGTTTCAGTTTCTCCCAGACATACCTAAATTTTAACATCAATCCCTTTAAGGAAAATCTGTATTTCAAAAAACCTTTCTCTGCAGTAGATCTTGCAGAGGAATTTGCACTATTACACTTGAAAATTGTTGTTGATAACCTTTTTGGCAGCTCAGTAGGAAAGCTTGTTTTAAACATGGTAGTACTGGAAATTTTACAAGACTTTTACCTAGCACTTAAATATGTATAAATGTACATAAAGACAAACTAGTAAGCATGACCTGGGGAAATGGTCAGACCTTGTATTGTGTTTTTGGCTTTGGAAGTAGCAAGTGACCAGAATCTGCCATGGCAACAGGCTTTTAAAAAAGACCCTAAAAAAGACACTGTCTCAACTGTGGTGTTAACACCAGCCAGCTCTCTGTACATTTGCTAGCTTGTAGTTTTCTAAGACTGAGTAAACTTCTTATTTTTAGAAAGTGGAGGTCTGGTTTGTAACTTTCCTTGTACTTAATTGGGTAAAAGTCTTTTCCACAAACCACCATCTATTTTGTGAACTTTGTTAGTCATCTTTTATTTGGTAAATTATGAACTGGTGTAAATTTGTACAGTTCATGTATATTGATTGTGGCAAAGTTGTACAGATTTCTATATTTTGGATGAGAAATTTTTCTTCTCTCTATAATAAATTGTTTCTTATCTTGGCATTTTAATCAATCTCTTGTCATGATTATAGAGGTTCAGCTAAATACTTTTCTTAAAAGACTTAGGTCCTATAAGGTATCTTAGTTGCACACTGGTCATGCTGTAAAAACATTGATGAGGAATGAGGGTGATCACATCAGGGTGATCTGTCTATACATATTTAGGTGTTAGAGAAAACAGAAGTAACATTTTTTAAAATCTTGAGTCAAAACATGGACACATTCACAGGCTAATGATCTCATGAAATGAGGATAAAAGACAAAGGTGTTACATCTTCCAAAAAAGGGATATTCAAAGGATTATATTTCATTGCTTCCCTGTTGAAGTGAAGATATAAATGTTCCATTCTGCCCACCTTTGAGAAACAGTTATTTTACCCCATGGATTTCTTGTTCAATTAGAAAATCCTAGGGCAGGTGATCAATAGTCTTAAGAGAACAGGCTAATCACCTCAGAGAGATGGGTTGCTTTTTGGTTTTCATCACCTGCAAGATTTACATAAAAATCCCTTAAGCTGGAATTCAACAAAAGGTATGTTTATGAATTTTTATTCTCAAAAAATTGAAATGCTGACCTTTTCCTCATTTTTCAGACTTATTTCAGAAATTCTAAAAACCTAAATGAATATTGAGGATGCTGTATAGGTTAGTTGCTCCCTGTCCCACATATTAAAGACTCGGTGGAAATTCTTTGGTTTGAGAAGATAAGAAAGGAAATTTAAATGGAAATTGAAAGTGCAGAAATTGGAATTTTGCTCTACAGTTAAATAAACAGTGACTTTGGGCAGGGGGATATACATGTAAACATTTACATTGGAAAGATATTAATACAATTTGAAATACTTGAATGTCAATAATCACTTGAAGTCAGTAATAACATTGAGAATTTTTTCCTACGTGTAAGATTAAATTTTCCCAATTTGGTAGACTATACCAAAATACACTGCTAAACATACCATGTGTTTAGAATACATGTTATTTCCCTGGACATTAGCAGGTCATTTCATGGAAATTTGAATTCTTACAACCACAATACATGGATTATTCTTGGGAATTGTCCGGTTTCTATTTTTCAGTCATTTCAGTGAAAATATCCTCAGTGTTTGAAGCTCTAATTTACGATAAAAACAACAGTTTTAAAAAGGGTCTCACCCTAGTGTTGCCTGCTGTTTATTAACTGCATATCATCCAGTAACTCCTTTGAAGCTAATTAACTGATACAGTTTTGAATATTAAATCAATGGAACTTAAAAAGTAAGGATGACTTCTAGACACTTGAGGAATATATTTTCAGTACCAAAAATTTTTTTCCATAAAACCTTTTCTCACACTTTTTGGTATTTAAAGAAAAAATGGTGAGAAGATAACAAAATGCTTATTTTGGAATAGAGGTGATATCTGGTATGTGAGGGGCTATTTATTAAGTTCCTCTTTAAAAAAGGCATGCAAACATCACTCATATTTAACATCCAGCTGTTTCCTGTAACTTGAACCTTATATTCCCCAGGCAATTGAGCCAAGCCTGTGTCTACAATACAGTAGCTGTTTGATATTTCTTGTTCACTGCTTGTGGGGAATGTTTTGCCTAGCTATTTTGACAAAAACATTGAGTGTCTGCTCTGTACATGTGCAGGTGTATGCCAGACTGCCACATGTCATTTATACCAGTTGGGTTTTTTCCTTAATATAACAGTGGTATAATTTTTAAAGGGTTTTACACTGCTTGAGTTAAAAAGTAGCTCATTAGAAATCCTTTTAAGAAAGGATGCCTGCTTTCAAAATTATTAGTTGCTTTTGGCAGCAGGAATTCATAGTTATGATTGGCAATAAGTTTGAGGGATGTTACTTGCTAAGTTTTAACAGGTAGTTTTTAGATTTATTTCTCCAAATGTAAATACTGTCTTGTTTTAGAATGCTGAAACAAGGCTTGAAGTGGATTATATAGTAAAGTTACCCTAGTTCATGCAGTGTGGCTGTTACCTCTGTCATCTAGAATGGGAATTGTGTGTCCTTACTTATAGTATTTCTGTAATAGACCACCAGAAAATGACTTTCAGTTACAATTGCACAAGTAGTTCCCATACAGGTAATTAATTTTTGTTCTGCATAGGTGTTACATTAAGGAATAGGGCTTCATAGTTACAAGGAAGGAAGCAGTATTCCATGTCTAGTGTTAATGAATGAAGGTTCCAGGCTCCTTTTAATCTTAGGAATAAATAAATTTGCTATTAGACTTTTATCACTTGATTTTTACACTTGAGATTCTCTTGGTTTCCTCTTAATATCTCAAACAATTTTGCATATTAAAGTTTGAAGGTAATTCTTCTGTTTTAGCTTGTATTTCAGATGGTGTTGGAAAATGCTAGTGGTAAGCTATATGGAGACAATTTGCCAATTATCTATGCTCCTAAAACTGCATAGATTGCTTATTTATCTGAAAGTATACAGACTACAAATAGTTTTAGTCACTGGAATTGAACTTTATTATATATATGGCTGCTGTTGACATAACTAGTTTATTTTCATGATATATTTGGAACATGATATAATAATATGAAAATTTTTTTATAGTAAAATAGTTTGCTACTAGTTAGAGTTAAGATGCATAACTAAGGCCTTCAACCATTTTTTTCCATATTTTTATTGGTGCATTATAATTGTACCAAATGGTGAGATCTGTTGCATATACGTACATGCACATAATATAAGCATATAATTTGGCCAGAATTCCCCAGTATTTCTGACTTCCCTCCTTTGCCTCCCCTTTTCTTTACTTGACTGATTGTCCTACAGTTTTCATGATATTCCTCCTCTCCCCATCACCTCATTTACTTTAGTAAATGGGACTGTACAGACCAGAGAAATCTGATGTTGTAATTTCTGACTGTATGTGTAGATCTTGATATTTACATCCGAGAATATCAAAATGAACATGGTTATGAAGATGTTAAATTTTGTTTGAGATGCTCCTAAATAAACTTAAGTTATATTAATAGGTTTAACAACCCTTTTTTCCCCTACAAATTTCCAGAGTAATAATAATCAAAACCAACTTTTTTAACTACAATTTTAAATTGGTTTAGCAATGTTTTTATGCATTGCTCTGTCAAGAAGGAATAACAAACCATAAGTCTTCCATTCATAGAATTCTAGTTTGTTTTCTTTCTTTTTTGTGTGTGTGTTTCCTGTTATGATTAACTAACCTAAAGGAGCATTTAGGAGTTCACTTCTGACTTACGTGATCTTTTTCATGATATTTACCACTTAAGTGTTGATGTTGCAATATTCTTATATGCTTATAGGGAATAGTGACGCTGAAGGATGAAATGTTTTGAGTCTAGTCCAGGGTTGAATAAAAAGGGAAAGGATAGGGTGGTTATAGGTATACATCTAAACGTTTGTGCTACACAGTCTCTGGCAGAATTTGGGAATCCACTATTGTAGGGATTTTGTAATTCATGGGTCTGAAGCAAAGCATCCCTCTTGTTTTTTTTTTCTTTGAACATTCTGGTCAAAGTGTTAGTACAGCCTTATAGCCCCACTTTCAGAGGAAGTGTGGAGGAGGAACATAAAGTATACTCTGTAGACATTTTTAAAGAAAATCAAACTGGGCATTCATCTTTTTTGTCTCATTATTCTATAGAGAGAGAATATTTTTTATGCTATTATGAAACGCTTGACAATTAGAGCCTATATTATGAAGGCCATTTATGACTGTTCCTAATGATAGAAGGATGGCTAAGTACAGGCCAGACCTCTGATATCCTAGAGGATTACCAGGATAGGAGAAAACAGTTGTCTTAATAGGATTTCTGTATTTGGAGAATATTACATTAAGCATTACTTAGTTGAAATTGTTAGCATTGATAGAAGACATTCACCTATCGGTACATTTAATTTGAATGATTCTTTAGATGGTCATTTCCAAAGTTTTTTTTATAACATTCTCTTAAAATGCTTTTGCATATGTTTTCATGAAAATTACTGTATATTCAAAAAGCACATGGTATATATTACATAAGCAAATCTCCATATATTGGAATACACTAAAAATTTTATTGATGGGGATGAATGTTCAAAATGTTTAGAGACTATTTCTCATCACTCAAGTAGGTATTTGCTCACCCAAGAATAATTCATAATTATGTTTTTTTCTTAAGTGATAAGTCTTAAAATGAGAAGAGAATTATAATTTTAGCTTACCTGTTCTTATTTGTAAAATTAAGTCATCTTAATAGCCAACAGATATACAAAATTGAGTGTAATTGCTAATTCAAAGACAATATTGTTCTTATATTTTCAAGAATGTATTGCTATGTGGGGAAATTCACATTTTATCTTTCGTAGAATTTTTTTTGTAAAATATTAGGTACTTGGTGACATTGATATGTATGGTTCTAAGGGAACTGAATTATTGAAGTCATAGATTGGTAATTAAATTATTTTTAGTAGTCATGGTTAAGCCAGAATTTCCTGTTTTCTTTTTTCCTTTTGTTTTGAGCCATTCCTAAATTTTTGGACCTCATTTGAGAGGATTCCTAAAATGGACATAAGCCTTATTTCATTAGACTTGAAAATTGCACTATAAGTAGGATTGAATATATTTTCTAGTTTTCCTGATTTATGACTCTTTCGTCCCCTCAAGTCAATAGATTGAATGACGTTGTATTTCTTAGAATTGCACTTGGGAACCTTCAGGTTATCAGTACATATTCTTACTGAACCATTCAACAACTGGATGAGGTTGACAAGAAGGTCAGTATTTTTTAATCTTTATTTTATGGATATCAAAAACTAAGCTTAATTTTCCCTAAGCCTGACAGCTAATGGACTATTTGAACAAAAGGCCTTTCTGAACCCAAAACTCGAGTGCTTAACTATTGGTATATCATTTTATTTTCCTTGTTGGAATATGTTTGAGTTCCCTTTACTACTTGGCCATCTTTGGTCATTTTCAGTATGGAAACTCTGTCCGCCCAGGAGATGGATAACTGTACCACTAGGCTTCT